GTCGCTTAGGAATTTTTATACTGATGCCATCATTCGCTATTACTATATTCCCAATTTCAATACTAGCCAAAGTCTGTACCCTTTGTCCAGTACTAAGCGCTAACAGCGCTGCTAATTTGTAAGTCAAATTCTGCAAGGAAATATTTTTAGGAAACGTTTTAATATAGTTAAGGACAATAGAAGGGTCCCAAGTCGTGCTATATTTGGGCTCGTTGGGTCGCAAATTGAAAACACCCTTAAAGAATCTTTTTAGCCTGAAATCGTTCGCAAAATCCAACCCTGCTATTTGAGCTATCGCACATCTATATGAATTTAAAGTGCCGTAAGAAGCACCTTTATTATAATACAATGTAAGAAATTTTAGAACATCCGGTACAGAAACTGAAAATATGTTCTTATTTTCTCGCTTACAAAACTCCCACCAAAATTTTAAACCGGAATTGTATTGTCTAATAGTACCACTGGTAATGGAAGCCATACAAATATCCAGCGATGCATCAGGAACCCCGCCTATCTGCAACGCTCGCCGGATAAGACTCCTGCTACCAGCGTAATCCTCTCCCATAATGGATGAGGAGTCCTATCAAAAGAAAGAAGTAAATCTTCACTCGGGGTAAAATAAATTAATCTACTAACAAGCAACGAGCTAAAAACTGGAAACCATGGCTGAGAGGTCCAGTAGGGAACGACAAAAATGCCCTCGGCTTTATCCTCTATGATCTTATGCAAACACTGCAATATGATCGAAAAGGGCGGAAATGCATAAAAATAGAAAGTCGACCAGTTAATCGTAAATGCATCTACCGCATAGCTATCTGGGTCTCTCTGCCAAGAAATGAAGCGTTTACATTTTTTATTTACTCTCGAGGCAAATAAGTCAATTTCGGGGCTGTTAAATTGAAGCGTTACTTCTCGAAAGGCCTTATTATTTAACTCCCATTCGGTTTCAATTTCTAACTGCCTAGATTCCTCGTCTGCCTCTACATTATCTTGAGATTTAATATACGAGGCGTATACCAAAATTTTTCTTTTTTCGCACCATTGCCAAAATTTTCTCGCCAGGGAGTTAAGCTTAGGATATCGAACGGATCCCATTCGATTGATACAGGCGATCGCTGTAGTGTTATCTATCCGGCATAGGATATTGCTGTGGGAAAGATTACTGGCAAAGCATCTTATAGCGAAGAAGGCAGCGAGGAGTTCGAGATAGTTTATGTGCTCCCGCAATTCGTCCCTGTTCCAGAAACCGTGAGCCCTCTTTTCCTCACAATAACTTCCCCATCCAGATGTCGATGCGTCGGAGAATATGCTTAATTTAAAGTCTTTCGAGGGTAAATTATTAAAGGATTTCATAGAGTTTTTAATCCACCAAAGAAAGTCTTCCGATACTTCAGAGGGAATATCCATGAAAGAATCGAAGTCTCCTCGCGATGTTTTGAGAGCGATTGCTTTAACTCTTTCAAAATTTTTTGTGTATAACCATCCATACTTTACTGCTGGGCAAGCCGACGTCAAAACACCAATAAATTGAGCAAATTCTCTGATTCTGCATTTTTCACATTTAAAAAATTTCGTAGCAAGTTTGATGATTTTTTGTTTTTTAAGTTCGGGTAAGCAAATTTTCATATTTATCGAGTTATAAGTAAACCCCAAAAAGGTGCAAGTCTGCTGAGGACTAGGGGAACTCTTAGAAAAGTTTATAATAAATCCCAAATTTTCTAATAGTCTAACTGTTTCCTGAACGTTAACTTCACAATCTGAAAATGTGTTACCCAGTAATAAAAAATCATCGAGATATAATACAGAGATTAATCCTTTTTTCCTTAAAAAACTTAGGATAGGTTTCATCAGTTTGGTAAAAATTAGGGGAGCACAATTCAACCCGAAGGGCATACAGGTAAATTCATACAGTGAATTGTTAAACTGAAAACGTAAATATTTCCTATGCGTCTTATTAACAGACAACAGAAAATAAGCATCCTTGAGATCTAATGTCGCCATAAAACAATTTTTGTATATCAACTTGATAACAGTCTTATGGTCTTCTAATTTGAAATGGCCAGTATTTATATAATTATTGAGATATTTGAGATTTAATATGAATCTTTGCGAACCGTCTGGCTTAGGAGTAAGAAATATTTTAGAAACGAATTGTCCTTTACAAGGTTCGACTTTATTTATGGCGCCCTTCTGTAAAAGTTCATTAATTGACTCTCGGATCTGCTCTTGTTCACGTAAAGACCATTTAGGTCCACGTGGAGCACTAACCTGCAATGGAGGTTGAGCGAAGGGAATTTTGATACCTCGAATCCAAGATAAAACATGTTTGTCTTTAGTCAAATGCGACCAGGCTGGATAAAAATGCCTCAGCCTGCCAGCGAGTTTACTAACCTTCGACTTCACTGTCGGTATTTGCTGCTCCTCTGTCCCTGTCTCTCTGACTTGCGAAACCATTTGTCCCGCGTCTTGTGATCTCGTCGAGGTTGCTGTTGATGATATTGTTGGCGTTCGCCGCGTCGCAACCCTTGGAATTTTCGAGACGAACTTTTGAAGTTTAAAGAACGCTTAGGATAGGAACTAGAAGATGCTCTGTTGGATGACACTTTTTCATCCTTTAAATCTTTACTAGATTGAGCGAGGTTTTTGTGAGATTTCACCCTATCTTCTAGGTCCTTCCCGAATAGCCATTCATCGTTTGGCGTATTGAACAAAGTCTCCTTGAGACTTTTATTGAGGTTTAGGGCTACCAGCTCCCTCCTCGAATGCGTATCTTGATGAAATAAGTCGGTTAACATCCGACCAGATTCACCCAGTTGCTGAATAACATCTCGGTCCCCCTTCTTTTTTAAAAGGGTAGTAACTGCCGAGCCGATAGACGATATGGCTGCGCTCAATTGCGCCTGAATATCAGCCAACCTCTTGTCTCTTTTTACCACCGACTCAGAACAGGCACTGATCACCAAAGGATTCAGTTTAGGAGGAGCTAAAGAGATGCAGTTCTCCGGATGAGGAAATTTCCTCATTAACTCTTGCCTTTCTTCGCTATCGAGTCCGTTATTTAAAATTCCCGACCATATCTCTGAAAGGTCTTTTTGAATTGGAGGACCGAATTTAGAGGACTGAATAACATTCTTTCCAAGAAGAGATATTACCTCCTGATCTAGACTGACGTCACTGTCAGATTCAGAACTATGGTCTGTAAGGATAAATGATGCCTCGCCACTGAGTACATCTTCCTCTAGAATTTTAGAGGTATTGGCGTCGTCTTCGCGCCTATAATTCGAGCTCACAGAGGGAGCGACATAATCTCCCTCTAGATGTTCTCGATCACGTCGCAAAATTTTTGCCAACGACGCCAAAGAGGTCTCATCTTCGGACCCTTCATTTGAAGAAACCTTACGGATGGAAGGTTCACGCAAAACGTCGTGGTGACGGCTGAGACTATCAAACTCAAAATGTTTTTGAGACTTGGCGGCAACATCCTCGTGCCTTTGTCTGACAAGAACAGTTTTGGCAACATCTTCGTGCCTTTGCTTAACAGTTTTGGCAACATCTTCGTGCCTCTGTCTAACAGGAACAGGCTTGGCAACATCTTCGTGCCTTTGCCTAACAGGTTTGGCAACATCTTCGTGCCTGTGTCTAACAGGAACAGGTTTGGCAACATCCTCGTGCCCCTGCTTAGAAGAACTAGCTTCCTCGCCTTGCCGACACAATCGCTTGACAACCTTTCCTCCATTCTCCAAATCTGTCAAAAGTTTCTGTGAAGGAATTAATTTATCAGTCTTCTTACCTTCAGCACGGTCCTCCTCTTCCTCCCTGCACGTCCTCTTACGCTTACCAACATCTTTAGGCATTTTAATGCTTAAACATTCACCATACACGTAAAAAAGCTATAAAATTTAACGCGAATCGTTTGAACGATGCGAATAGTTTGACACGCTGTGAAAGAATGAAATGAAATTGTCACTGGTGACTGGTCAAGCACCGGGACAGGTAAGCAGGGATTTTAAAAATCGATATCTTTAAAAAGCGTGTGATTTGACGTGAAGTGGAAGGTACTACATTATTCTTAATTACGAGACGAGGCGTAATATAATTAAGTTACACGCTTGGAGAATTTCGGTCGGAATTGCCTACGTCTGAACAGTAACAGAATGAAGATGAGACTCGACAAGCCGAGAATTCGACTATCGACGAATGCTAAGCTGAGGGTCGTTCACGTAAAAAATCTGGAACTGTACAGAGGCTAGAATACACCGAATTAGATGCGGCTAGGAGAAGCTATTCTGGGCGCACATCTCTAAAGAAGGACGGAGTATGTCGAGCTTGTCGATCATTTTCTGCAGGGTAATCTAGCATCTATTGGCGTTTAACGAAGATCTCTAGTACGAAATTCTCGAGAATAATACCGGTGCTGAAGTAGTGAGACTTTTATCACGGTTTCTGAGTCATAGTCTTGAATACATTTTTTCTAAGCTTGGAGAAGAGAAATCGCTTACGAAACAGTATTATTTTTGAGCTGGATTTATAAATTTGAGCATGCCGTTGCACTACAACCTTCAAAATCAAAAAAAGTAAAAATCTTTTTCTGATGATATGATTAAAATTTTTAAATTAAATTTGCATGAACCATAGAAGCACGGAAAAGCGGGAAAACTAACAAACATTAAAATACTTTTGAAGATTGGTCATCAAATGCCAGTAACGCTGATGGTGTTCCACAAAAAACTTGACTGATTCTTACAATTTTTAGAATTGGCTTTGCTCTATTTTTCCAGTTACCTACATTTCTTGCGCATTTTTCTTCAAATTTAGAAAATTTGAATAGGTTTTCCGTCTTCGCGTATCCACACGATGACCGCTCGGAAAAATTTAGAAAGCGTTATTTCTTCTTCTTTCAAAGAGAAGCGTTTTTTTTTTATAACATTACATTTTCATCGGTGGAAATTTTGGAAATCAGTGCTTCAACAAACAGATAAATTAATTTAATAAAGGTATACTCGGCTATAAAGACCTTTATTTTATCACTTTTAATGGTATCAAAGCCTAAAACCTATTCTACATACGATTAAGTGGTAAATAATTCGCGACATTATCTTAACATAATCCAAATTGGTATCCGCAACAATAAATTTATGGTTACTTAAATATGCAGTTAATTATCGCATATATTATGTGCCTCATCTTGCGCAACGTAATTAATCTGGGAACGTTCAAGTAATAAAAAGTCATTGACTAGGGGATGTACGGTAATTGCAAAGTCAACCATCCAATCAACAAGTAATTTCGGTTGTCGGAATACAGTCTAATAAAATAAGTAGGTACTTATCTATTTCAAAGGAATATTTACATAAATAAAAATTTCAACTCTTTCTAAATTTTAAAGTTCTAATATTTACATAGTATAGATGAGTTTCAAAACTCGAAAGCTCAGTCCTTGCATCCTCTACCTCTTTTCACAAGTTGATTACAAAATCTTGGAGATGCTATGAAATCGCCTAGAAATACACTAAGAAGGTAAAACTCCTTCTGCCTCTCGTCAGATGACTTGTAGTTTCTGAAAACAAATAAAAATATAATTACTAACGTTGAAACTACGTGGGCTATATTATTGAAATAATATAACACACATAAATGGGAACTTATAGTGCAATTGAACAAAAATTAACCTACGACTAGGTGCTATAGTAATAATGTCCAAAACATGTAAATGTTGCCGAATAATATTTATTTATGTTATTGTCGCGAAAATCTGGCGGAAGCGCCAGGGTGTACAGAATTAGACAGCTGCTTCTAGATTTTACAGTGCTATTCGGGAAAAAGGCCTATCGCGTTTCTTCTGGATTTTATAAGAATAGATTACGGATATATAAAGGCCGATATTAGTAGTGATTATTTTTAAGAGTTGTAAAGAGTTAAGTTGTTTGAGTTAATTAGTGGAGTAATTAGTAACTCTATCGGGCTTCAAATGGTTTTCCACTTTAGATCTTAGGCGTGGATACTGGCAAGTGGCAATACACAAAGATGACAAAGAGAAAACTGCCTTCGGTACCGGAAGCAGGCTATACCAGTTTAACATGATGCCTTTCGGATTGTGTAATGCTCCAGCTACGTTTGAGCGACTGATGCATCTTGTCGTAAAACAAGATGGCCTTACATGGAGAACTTGCCTGGTATATTTAGGCAACTTAAAACTTAAAACAACTTAAAACTCAATCCAAATAAATGTTTTTTATTTCAAAAGAAAGTGGAATTCTTAGGTCACGGGGTTTCGGAAGATGGCATACAAGTTATAGAAGGAAAGATAGATGCTGTCAGGGATTAGCCAAAACCACTCGACAAACATGAACTGAGGAGTTTCCTAATGAAGCTGCTCCATTTTATCGATTAACGGAAGAAAAATCAACATTCAATTGGACCCAAGAATGCGATTCCGCTTTTAGAAAATTGAAAGAAGCATTATGTACGAGCCCAATGTTGTCCTATCCCGATCAGAAAGGCATGTTGATTTTGGAGACAGATGCAAGCAACACCATTATTGGAGCTGTCCTTTCACAAATCCAAAATTCACAAGAGCATGTCGTGGAGTACTACAGCGGAACCTTATCAAAGCCGGCACGAAATTATTGTGTCACCAAAAGAGAGTTGCTTGCAGTGGCGGCCAGTGGCAACCTAGTGTGGTTGTGCGCTCTTGGAAAAATTTTTGGAGGTGCCACGTCCTGTTTTACATTTATTTTGTATGTTGATTTTTTTTCTTTTTACTTTAGGAAAAATTATCGAAAACAAAAATATACTATGTATTTGAATGAGACTTGAATGTTTGTATTCTAGCCATAATACATAATTGATATTGAAATTTATAATTTAAAAAAAAAAAAAACGCGAACAACAGAGTTGTCAAACCGCCAAAATGGTGAAAAAACATCGAAATATTCTCGATTGAGTGGAAACAACATTGGAAGTGTGTATTCAAATAGCGCACGGCGCATCCCTTTCATCGGGCGACTTACCGTATATTCCCGATCAATCGCACAGCGAGAAAACACATTTACCCAGAGCGCCGAACGATTCCACACCGACCACCCGGACCACCAGCACAACCAAGCGGGAGAAAAAAATATACAAGACAGGCGCAGGGCGCGCTTTCGTTCCGTTCGTGCGAATTTAAAAATAGAGAAATGAGTAGATATTTATCCTAATTTAGAAAATTGGGTGGGTATTTTTTAATTGAAGTTTCTTTTCTTTCCAAAATTTTAATTTTATTTTCTTGCTTGGTTTTTGGAGGCAGTGCGCGCGCACGAGCGCACTTATTGAGAAGCCGCCTCTGGTTGCTTGCCATAGTAAAAGCAGTCGACCATTTCCATAAGTATCTCTACGGACGTAAGCTTCTAAGATTTTTAGGATTTCTAAATTAAACATTGACCTGGAAACCTGCATAAAAATGCTGACGCTCTGTCTAGACGGCCATGCAAAGAAGACTGTAACCATTGTCAAAGAATCGACATGCATGAGAAGACACTGGTCCGGCTGTGAGAAGAACGGGTCTGATCGTTGATGTTAAATGGACTACCAAACAAATGAGAGCAGATCAACAAGCAGACCAGGACATCGGGTAATTTCTACATCTTAAATAAATTTATGAATGTAGGCCAGAATGGAGGGAAGTGTCGAACAAGAGTTTGATATACAAGGCGTTGTGGGCTCAGTGGCACTCTCTGGCTGTAGAAAATGGTTTAATGAAAAGAATTTGGGAAAGTGCCGATGGAAAATCTACTAAGAGCCAACTGGTTATTCCAAAAGATTGAGTAGAAGATGTATTGAATGAAAAACATGACGGCACTTCTGGGGCACATTTTGGAGTGAATAAGACTTTTGCACAAAATTCGGGAACGTTTTTACTGGGTCCACTGTCATGAAGACGTTAAAAACTGTCTCCCATTTGAAAGAATAACGATAGATGTTGCCGGACCGTTCGCTGAGTCCGAGTGTGGTAACAAATACATTTTAGTTATCATGGATTACTTCAGTAAATGGCCAGAAGTGTTCGCTGTTCTCAATGAAGATGCCATCACTATTGCCCAGGTGCTAGTGGACGAAGTTTCAAGTCGTCACTAGAGTTACATTTAGATCAGGGACGAAACTTCGAATCTGCCATCTTTAAGAAAATTTGTGAGATCATGAGCATTCGTAAGACAAGGACAACACCTTTACATCCACAGTCTGATGGCATGGTAGAATGATTCAATAAGACCATAGGGGAACACCCGACAAAAGTGGTCGCAAAGATCCAGCGAGATTCGAACAAACACTTGCCTCTATTTTTAATGGCTTACAGAGCAGCTGTTTACGAGTCAACAGGTGAAAGTCCAGCTAGAATCGTTTTTGGAAAAGAACTCAGGTTACCCTGCGATCTGATGTTTGGGTTACCTAAAGAAGAACGAAAAGAAATCCGATATTATGCCGCCGAAGTAAGGGTACGACTTCTGGGTATCCATGATTTTGCTCGGGAGAATATTCAGCTGGCCAGTGACCGAATGAAGACCAGATACGGCTTGAAACCCAATTCAGCCGGATTTCAAGAAGGTGATTTAGTGTGGCTGTATAGTCCAGCAAGAAAGAAGGAAGTATCGCCGAAATTGTCTTCAGCATGGGAGGGACCCTAATATTCAAGAGGTTTAATGATATGGTTTATCGTATTCAGCGCAACACCAGGAGTAAAATGAAAGTTGTACATTTGGACAGATTGACGAAAAATCATGGGCGCGAAGTCGATCGAGACGATCAACCTTAAAAGGAGGGCAGTGTCGCGAAATTTGGCGGAAGCGCCAGGGTGTACAGAATTGGACATCACAGTGCTATTCGGGAAAAAGGCCTAACGCGTTTATTCTGGATTTCACAAGAATAGATTACGGATATATAAAGGCCGATATTAGTTAGTAGTTTTTAAGTTTAAAATTGGCTGTGATATGATTTAGATAGTGATTATTGTTAAGAGTTGTTTGAGTGAGTAAATTAGTGAAGTAATTAGTGTCAGAATGTATAATAACGTGGAATAAATTATTGTTGTATTAATTGGACTTTGATTTTGGAAAAAACGGATCCAAGATTTCTGTCACGCAACTCAGAGCCGTGACATTATCATTACCTACGCGTTTTCATGTTACCTACTCTCAATATAAAAAAATCATCTCCAAAATGAATATGTTTTAGGACAACCGGGAACACACCTATAATCTACAAACAGCACTCAGCAGCCCATAAAGATTTTTTTTATTATTTATAATCAAGCCGAATTTGCCTTAATTAATTTTGAAATAACCTTTTTTGATAGTTATCTTGATTCAAATTTTCTTGATGTATATGCCAGAATTTATAAAAAATGACGGTGTCTGAATCTAGTTACATTATTACCGTGTGACATTTTTTGGGGGTAAATGTAATTATTTTAACTCATTTGAATTGTAATTATAATTTGAACTACCAGCATATTTATTTGTATTTTTAGTAACACTTAATTATTGAATGGAATGGCGTACCGTATTTAAATCAATTTGATTTTTGCCGTTGGATGTTTCATCAAATTGAAATATTAATTATTCACCTACGAACAACATAATAATATTTGTACATTAAATAAGGAAGTTTAGCTACACTAGGAAATCGAGTCCAATTGGCAATAAGCTCCCATTCCACATGGATAATGAATTTGTTTAAGTTATGTTCTGGTGTAGATGGTCATAGAGGTTGCCCACGAGTTCAGTATGCCGGACTTTGTCAAAGGCGTTTTATACATGGTATATTGAATGCCGGTAAGATCATTTATTTATAGCCCTCGAGTGAAATTCCCGAATATTCTGGGAAGTTGAAGTTGATAGGAACAATTTTGACCAATGCCGAATTACAAATATTAAAATCACATATAATAAAATACAATTTGAAATTTGCGTTTTTATTTATTTAAGAAATTTACGAAATACAGTTTTCAGCCAAAGACAACTAACTTTTCTTTTAAATAACATAAGTCCTCGTTAGCTTGTCGAATTCATTGAAGAGGTGATTCAATACGCATATAAAATAATCTATATTTAGTTGTTGAACCGTGGTATTCATCACGTATGGTCTATTGGCTATTTCTGGAGCCGCATCTTGTGCAAAAATATGAAATTTCTACGTATTCCAAATAATATACCTACTTAAATTTTAATTTTATTTATTGATTGGTTATAAAAGCGGTAGTCGGTTATTCTTCAACGAGAATAATAGTATTAACACAGTATTAAGTCTGAATTATGATCATCATATATTAAAGTGGGACTATTTTTACTTACGCAAACACATCATTCCAATCAACTTGTATTTCCTGTTTTCCGGTTCTTCGAGCTTTTTCCGCATGATGTAAGCAAACTTTAGGATAAATGCATACGTTGTCACCAAGTTCACTCACAAGTCGTTTCTCTGCTTCGATCATGTTAATCATTTCCTCATTAGTTAGGCTTCTCCGCGCTCTCTTGCTGACGTAAGTGTCTAGAAAAATAATTACGTGTTGAAGGGATTTGTCTATTATACAGCTAATAATACGATATTAACATAGTTCACCCCTTTGTTGTCAAAAGACGCATGAACTTGAGATATTAGTTCTATTATGGTATACAGGGTTGTCTGAAGGCATGAAAACGGTCCTTATTTTTGGAAATGCAAGAAAAACAAAACAGTATTGCAAATATTTCTAGTGATTTCGGCTTCACGAATACCTCCCTAGGAGGAGACAATTCGTAATTTTTTAATGGGCCATTTTCTGAATAGGAGACCGTTATACCATTTCCATAATCTATGTCGAATTATTGGGGATCGTGACCGTATAAAATTAAAGAATTAGAAATTATGAGCCATACACCAGTTCCCAATATTTCTAGCTTCACATGTACGAATACAGGGTAGCAATAGAGGTTTTTTTTTTCAAAATTGGGATCCTCACAAAATAAAAGATTCCGGATGTTGGAACGATGAAATCATTTTCTTTTTACACGGACAGGGTGAACTTCGGGGTGACCCACAAACAAGATCAAGTTACTAAACCTAAACTAAACTCCCTTAGCTTCTTTGTTAGAGATCTTTGATAAAAATCCATAGATGTGAGATTTGTGGGTTGCACCTGACAGATTTATAGCAAAAAACAGAGGAACAAATTATTTTGGAATGAAAACTGGAAATTCAACAGTAATGATGGATGCAATATTCTATACAAATAGTAATAATCGGAGGATAGAGTAGGGAAAAATAATAGGAAAATAAAATCCTTTTTCAGATATTCAGGGTTACCCGAAAAAAAATTGCATATAATTTGGATGTGACCGGAATCCCCATGCATACTAGTATGTTTTAATAATTTCCTTTTCCCAGCTGTATCGTGAATTTTCCTACGGGGGCTTTTACTTCATACAACATAAATCACAATAATTGTGAGTCAAATCGTAGCAAACTAGTACAGTGGGATTCATTGCAATTGGCACCTACTCTTTTATCATTCCTCGTATTAAGACAAAATTCTAACCAATAAATCTATTTGATGCAGTGGCGTACGTGACATTTTAACCCGTCAACCCATTCAAAGAGAACTTTAAATTCATGATCATGCTACTGCCAGAACTTAGGGCTAAGGTCGAATTTTCCCACCTTGTGCTATCGTTTGCCACTAAACACTGAAACGCATCTGTAGTTGGATCTGCAACTAAAACTACTGGACACTGGTTTGGCTGATTTAACTCAAAGGCGAAAAATTGAAATATAAATATTGGTTGGGCATGGTAAACAAAAGTAAATATATAAATCCCTAAGCATTTACCTGATACTTATTCAAATGCATCTGGGATTGGATATTATGAATTTAAAATGGCTTTCACGACCAATATACCGGGTGACGGGGATGAAACCAGTTTGTCTGTTTGTCCGACACTTATCTGTTATGAAATAACATTATTTAAACCGTGCAATATCCGTAAGTAACAACTATATAAGTACCTAACAAACACAAAACAATAAAACTTTGGTCTGATGTACGATATGTACAGGGTTATTGGTTATAAATGTCACCCCTCTCTATCTTTTTTATTTGACATTTTAGAAATAAGTGTCTCAAATAAAAGGTGTTTCAGAAAAGCTAGTCATGTTCCAACTTTCTTATTTTAAATTGATTAATCTGTATATTATTGAATATTCAGATTCTACGTAAAATTCTGAGCAGATTTCAGGTGATACACCCTATACCTGAGTTCAACTGTTTTGGAAATATTGACAGTTCAAAATTGATCAATATTTCATTTTTTGTAAAGTATACCTACCTATAATATTCCAAAAATACAAATCACGCATAAGCAAGACGAACTCGTTTTATGAATAATTGGTAAGCATCGCTTATTATATGGACATAAAATTTTACAAAAACTAATTTTGATTTTTTTCCATTAAGAATAGGAAGGTAAACTTTCAGGTATCAAACCTCGATTCGATATTATACAGGGTGTCCACTTAGTGAGATATCGGCCGATATCTCCTCACACGGTTATGCACGAAAAAAAAATAAATTAGAAAGTTGCTTGATACTCTAATATGCATTAGTTAAAAATATTTTCGAATTTACAGGGTGCTCCGTTTATAGGGTATGCGACAAAACTTTGTTATTTTTAATGGAGTAACCTGTATGTGATTCCATATTTAGATTCTACGTTAAATTCTGAGCACATTTCATGCAATAAACCCTATACCTAAGTTCAACTGTTTTGGAAATATTGACAGTTGAAAATTGATTGTCAAAGTGCAAAAAGTCAATTTTCAACTGTCAATATTTCCAAAATAGTTGAACTTAGGTATGGGCTACATTACATGAAATCTGCTCACAATTTTACGTAGAATCCAAAAATGCAATCACATACAGGGTGTTCCGTATAAAAAAACAAAGTTCTGTCGCATACCCCATTTAAGGAGCACCCTGTATATTTAAAAATATTTTTAACTAATGCATATTAGAGTATCAAACAACTTTGTAATTTGATTTTTTTTTCTTGCATCACCCTGTAAGGAGATATCGTCCGATATCGCACTAAGTGGACACCCTGTATATTCCGTCTGAGAAAGGCACCGTGTGCTGAAACATGTTACGGCATGAAATAATTAAAATTGTGGAAATTTGGGAGCGTTTTGGTTTTCTTTCAACATTTGACATTTGTAATGGATTTCCATCAAGTATCGGCTAAATAAATATGTCTCATATATTCACTTTATTTTTCGATACTTTGTGGTGATATGAATGAGTTTTACATATTGGACGCAATCAGGTTCAAAAAATGGTAAATGAAATTGTATTCAAAGGTTTTTTAATTATGTAAACACATTGTCGTACTATTCTGAAATTCAGAGTGAAACAATTTCTTTGAATAAAATAACGTTAACGTTTTCTCTAGACCAACAGAGGGCGATGAAACCTGATTTTCTATCCGATCACACGTATCCAATTTTGCTATAGAGATTTAATTCATTTATTCTAGGAATAAACCTAGACAGGAAGATTAAAAGAATAACTCAGAAAAAAAAAAAAAAATAGTATATTTCCTTACTAGTGCGGAAAGTACCACTTTTCCGCACGCGATTGCAGTTTGCCGAACGACGCGTAGCGGAGTTCGGCATGCAATCAAGTGAGGAAAAGAGACTTTCCGCACGAGTTAGGAACACTATTTTTTCTACGAGATAGAAGGAACCTATACCTACCTAATTAATGTAAATTTTAATACGAATATTTAACAACATCTCTTTTGCAACACTTGATATTAAAAACAAATCGAGTAATTTTTTCTTCTTCTCTTACAAATAAAATGTATTGAAAATTTATTGCTTTAATAATAAAAAAAAAACTAATTCTAAAATAATGTGCCTTATTCTGAAGACAATAAAATCGAGAACTTTTAACAATAGTTTGTACGTTTGATGTAGGAACTATGAAATTTACGAAATTTTTAGGCATAAATTAACCATTAGTTTGTAACTTAACAAGAAAAGTTAAGTTTAAACCGAAATAAGTTAATAATTAACATTTTTGTTTCAATAATTCGTGTATCAGCTTATAATTTGAAAAGTGACATCTTTTTTCCGCACTAGTGCGGAAAAGTGAAACTTTCTAAACTAAAATGCGTGCGGAAAAGTGCACTTTTCCGCACGCTCGTAGAAAAAAATAATTAATGCATAATATAAGAAGTTCGATTTACTTATTTATAAGTAATTAATAATATTACACATAATACTATGACCAATGCCACAGAGGTAGGTACTAGATAATTTATTAACTCACAATTAATTTTAACAGATAAGTTGGTTAGGTAATGTAATGTTAGAAAACAAATTGTGTACTGTACAAATATGTGACTGATCTTGCTTATTTGAGGAGTTAGAAGCATTTAATTTACCTATTAACAAAATAAAGTTGCTACAGTAACAAACGCCATCAAACATGTAAGTTTGCTGTCTGGTTTGGTGAACCTATATACAATCGAAAAAACTTAAAATATTATACAGTTTTGGCAATGAAGAGTATGGTGACTTTGCCAGTAAAACTTACTTTACAAAACATTAACAAGTCATTGAACAAATTGCCTTTACAACAATTCTCTTATCACTTATCGAAACGCAGGTACACAACAAATCTCGTATTTAATCTGAACTGTAAATGACCACTACGCACTATTTATAGAAAAAACGCACTCCTGTCTTCTCAAAAATTCCCAGAATAGACACTCTCCAGTGATGTAAACAACTAGGTTCCTAGAATTCTGGCCGGGTTGTTGATGCTATTTCGTAACAATATAATTTTTGGATATGATTTCTGAAATAGGAAATTTTCAGCAGTCGGTACGATAATACCAATAATGATTTCCACACTCGTTTCCACATCGTCATCTACCACATAAGGTATTCATATTTCAACAGAACATCCAGAAAATGACAAGAAAGTGCTGATCCTGTCTTTCAGAAGATATCCAAACGCATAAAGTTAACGTAGCCCAAGAAGATGCTGTAAGTAATGCGTCATTGATAGCTCTTCGATTAGCATGAACATTTGTATCAACTTACTTTTTCTTTTCACATATATATGTCATGAATTAATAACTGTTTGAATAATTATTGATCATCGTCATTGAACTATTTCTTTTTTAAATTCACCTACTGCGGCCAACAAAGTGGTTGGTGTTTATTTTATTGATCACCATCGCATAACTCCAGATTGACAATTGAAGACGTAAAATATTTTATAGTTCGGGTGCCAAAAAGTGACAGATAGCATGTTATTGAAATTTGAATGACATAGTCCAACCAATAGGGCTAACATGAGAAACGTTACTCCGCTACCCCATTTAGAAGCCTAGAGTCTTACTGTAAAGGAGATTAGTAACCACTCCGGTAAAAAACCAGGATCCAGGTGGCCTGGATGATAGTACCCTATAAGAGCTTCTGGCAAAATACGGCAAAGAAACTGCTACCTTGGCCCTAGTGCAGGGTATGGAGAATAGTTATAAAAAAGAAAATAGAAAACGCGTACAAGGGGTAGTAAAAGTAACGAGACATGAGAATACCGTTCAATGAATACAATCTATATCTATAAATTAGGCTTTATGACCTGGATTATATACGCGACACGTAAATTATTAGAGTAATATGAGTAATAGGATTTGGAAGTAAATCTAACGGAAACACATCATTATATGATAATAGTAGGAGAACAACGATTAAAAACGGGCAAGAAATAAAACAATTCACTGAATTCGTGCATGAAAATCAAGCATGCCTTGTCGAAGCAATTATTGAACATCGAAATATACAAGAACGGAAGGCGATATCCCTGCTGCATAGAGAACTGTGGGACAAAAATATAAACAAAACCAACAAAACAAAAATATTCAAAATCATCGTCAAAAGCATTATCACATATTAAAGTTCTGAGGCCTGGCAACTGAAAGACAGAACCGAAAAAATGCTGAGACAACTGAAATGGATTTTGGGAGGAGGACGACAGGCATGTCAAAAATGGAAAGGATAACAAACGACAGAAAATATGAACGTGAGACACACAACAGAAGACGATATTGAAGATATACAACTGATTTGGTTCGGACACAGAATTACGCATACGAGAAGCATGAGTGAAAGCCAGGAAGTAGACCAAGAAGAGAAGAAGTTGCAGGAGTGTAGTAGACGAGGAAAGGAGGGACAGAGGCTTGCAGGAGGATGCCTGGATTGACAGCGATGGTTGAGAATGAAAAATCGGAAGACGTGTAACGTTATGGACTGACAGTTATATCTATGCCAGTATTACCTCTCCGCACCACCTAATGAAATTGCATTTTCCATTGTGCTAACGGTTTATTGAATTTTGAAAAAAAATACATATCCCATACAGGACCCCAAAAAAAAAACTCATTCTTCTCTCTACTCATTATTGAATATATTTAGAGAAAAGTCAACAGCCTAAAATGTCTTCATTTGTACAGGAAGAAGAATTAGGTTGGGAGAAATTGAAAGCGTTATCGATGCAAAACGGAATTTTGTCAAAAATAATGGCAATTTTCTGGTTTCTATAAAATAAATGTTAAAGTTTGGTTAATCAACTTCTAAAAAATATTATTCCTATACTTATGCTCTTCGTGATAGTGATAGTAAAACGATTCAAGACCACGAAAACCATTCACCTACCCACTAGGAAACTACTGTTCTGTAATAAGATATTTGTCTTTGAATAAAAGGATCAGCTATGTGCTATTTTATGTCATAACTCCATTTAGGCCCGGTTTATTCACCTGATAAACTGTCAGGTTATGCAATCTGACGGATAGAAAGGCAATCTATAAGCAGGCCAGTTATTCGGCGACCAATAGGATTATAGATTGGTAAATTTATCTTGTAGACAGTCACCAGTTAGTTTAGCGGAAGATGAATAAACCGTGCATTGAAGAAAACATAAAATTACCTAGCATAACGCATGACAACCTTATCCAAACGATTGTTTCAAGTATTTGAATATGGGTGTACCAAGGCGTGTCACTTTTTCATACAACGTTTGCAATACATTATCTTTAAATTTAAATGATAGATACATTAAATGAAAGTAAACAACCTTGAAACAAAAGGCGTAACTAGCTCGTATATAGGTCGAAATTGCTTCGAAAACAAATACTACTCCACACTTACTTGGATTCAATGAATATGCCAGTTTTTTAACAAAATTTGACAATCGCACTGCCACAATAATGACAGGAAACCCAACAAGTTCCACCGGCAATTCAAAAATGGGTTCTTGAGCAGCCGTTGAAATGGGTTTATCCAACATGCAAATTATTGTGAATATAAAAAAGGACACTAAACAACTTAAACTCCGAATTTTCATAATGAATTTACCGGAAGGTTGGTATTTGCCAAAAGTAAATGGTATTTTAAGAACGGCAAAAGAAACAGTGGGTTGAAAATTATGTTTGTAAGTCAGTCTTACGAGTGAAAGTAACCACCACTCTGCCATACCAAATTGTATATGGAGGGCATTACGGTGCTTAATATCCTACTTAAGTGTTGTTAAATAATACTGTATTAAGTAATCATCATTGTATTTGTTAATGGTAGTATACGATGCAGTTGAACTAATGGTTATATATTAGTAAACTATGCGACGCGGCAACATAGATGGGTTACTTTATTAATTTACATTAAAAAATACGATTAAAAGTTCATTTAATATTGCAATACCATTTGTGCAAGAGACACAGTTGCGTGACTTTTTTTTGGTAAAGCCTATACATTATTATTTGCAATAGGTAGATATTTACATAAAATATGGCAGGTAGGTACGTATCATATTTGAAAGTTCAACTAAGTATATAGTATGGACTTTTCTCACTGTTAACGTCACTTTTTTAGAGCTTGGAACTAAGTACCTATGATTTGGTGATTTTTGAATCATACTGTATTATTATTTTTCACTTAGAGAGTAGGTATGAATGAAACTTATGGTTACCTATGATATTTTGATATAAATTAAAAATCGAGTTCAAAATTACCATTTTATTCAATTTTCACATCAAATACGTAAAACATAAAATTTTACAGCAAGAATAAAAAATCCTAATTTTTGGAATGAAATAGTTTGGAAATGTATTCACGGGAAGCATTGGAGAGCAAGCCCTTTGTTTTTATGCAAAGAAGACATAAAGTTTCGCGCGCTATATTTAAATTTATTTTCCCGGGAAGAATTACAACGTCTTTTGCCATTTTATATCAGTATATTTTAGGTTAATTTCCAAGGAAAATGTACGAAAACTACGTTCATTTCCATAAATAAGCTTCTGGCTAAGTTTTTATGATGCTTGCCCGAAGTGAATATTGCCTTTCATTATATACAATGAAACATTTCATATTTGGCAAGTGGAAAATTAGCAATTATTTTACTTTGTTGATGAGTTGTTTATGATAATACCTAATTAAAATAATTTTGAAGTATAAGTTATATACCTGTTTCAGTTTTCAACCCTAGGAAAAATGACGTACCAACAAAAACATAAGATATAATTTGAGTATGAAGATTTACTTACAACTTACCTAATAATTGAAATTGTGAAATAACATAATTGATCCCTTTTTAAAAGCAAAAAAGTTGATGAATGCAAAAATTCAACAAATTATTTAAATAGGTACATGAAAAATCATGGGTATAAAATGAAATTCGTCTAATCAAAAAGACAACATTGGAAAAAAAAAAATTGATTCAAATATAGGTATTCAGAGAAAAGATATTCACGAGATAATTTGAAAAAAAAAAAAAGATATCTATCTACTGATGGAAAATCGAAGCGGAACAAGCGCGAGGGCGAAGAAGGAAAGCATGTTCTTTAACCAAAATTTACCTTTAAATTTCAAGGTGTTTATGTTGGTAGACCTTGTAACATTTTCAAATTATATCTATTATTTAGGTTTTTATCGTCTGTTATATAATTTATAGTGTGTTTATTTCAGTGGCATGCAGACGTATTAATTAAAATTGATGAAAAATTTTGTTGCCTCGACTGGGATTTGAACCTAGAACCCTCGCATTTCCAGTGCAACGCTCTAACCAACTGAGCTACCAAGACCTGCTATATGTCGACGACGCATCCTGGTTGAAGGGATAATGGCTTCCAAAACAACCATTAATTGCGAATGTGTTCCCCATACCTCCTAATTCACTCCAATACCAACGGTAACCGCCGAAGGTTACCGATGGTCACAACTAACAACTTAAAAAATAATGAAAGACTTGATCGACAAGGTAGAAATGAAACAGGTCTTGGTAGCTCAGTTGGTTAGAGCGTTGCACCTGGAAATGCGAGAGTCCTGGGTTCAAATCCCAGTCGAGACATGAAAATTTTTCATCAATTTTTGATTATCACGTCCGCATGCCACTAAAACACTATAAAATATATCTAGTATTGCTATTTGGTCTTGCTCACAAGATCGTTGGCTGAGTGTCGTCAGATGACTGTGATTTATATTATGTTTGATTATCTCATTCTTGTGGTATGTAAATAATTTGCTCAAGTAAAAAAGAGTTTGTATTTGTGTTAAATAACTCCCAATCTTAATGTGTGAGCAGTCTGCATTGGCACTGCCAAAAGGAATAAGCATCCTACATTACCGCAGGTATTATTACTTAATAGTTGGCTTTTCTAGATATGATTTAGTTTGATTGAGGGTGCGCTTTCTTTATAAATATGTATATCCTAAAATAGCAGGGCAGTCCATTATAAGTTTACGTAATCATGAGTTATTTCAAGTTCTCGAACTTGTTTCCTATGTTCGTTGGTTCGTTTGTTTACCCTTTCGGGCCAATACTCACACTTCAGCCTTGGAGGCTTTTTATGTCTCATTGTATGGATTCTACTCCTCCCATTCATATTTGAGAATAGATGGTTGGCGGATCGTCCCGTACTCTTGCGGTCACTCCATCCCCACACCACGTTGCTTGGCCTGCTTAAGGCGACTTGCGTCCTCTATCACCAAATACCAACATGACTACTTGTCACCTTAGTAAAGACTCGACAAGATCTCTAATTAACAAACATTCCTTTATTTGAAACTTGAGTAAATAATTTAGATTATTCAAGGTTAAGACGCACATTGGTTCGAGCAGTTTCATGGACCACCGGACATAAGCCAATCAGAGCAAATGAGTTCTAGATTAACAAATTTGGAGTAAGTATCGGTTCCTGACAGAATTGTCACTAGTTTGAAATTGCTGTAATTTCTTATGTGGTTGTTGCCCAAGCGCTTCTGTACTTTCATTTGGTCTAGAACGTGGTAGCGACCAGACCATCTTGTCTTGCCTTGCCTTGCCTTGCCTTGCCTTTGGAATTTTGCCAAATGGCAAGTATTTTGAGTTTTGTGTCGTGGAGGCCCAAATTAAAGCAAGTCACTTTCATCAATCTAATGTTATCGGCAATCCATAAACCTATATTTTATTATTTTTTTAATTTCAATGGAGCATGTATGTCAAAACATCTGATAAAGTCGCTCTCAAGGTCAGCTTGAAAGTGAACCAGGTCAATGCGATCCAGGGACCTAAACGTTAATTCAGTATTATGTGTTTCAGCAGCAATCATATTTAGTTTAACAAATACTAGCAAATGACTTTAAGAGGCTCAGATCTCGAACACCCAGATCCTGTAGAAAATATCCAAACTGCAACAAATAAGGTAAATCAATGTAGAGCTCAATTGAGAAACCCATGTTTTTTTTTTTTTTTTGGTGAGGAAGTCGTCTGATTGAACTCCGAGTAGCGCTGCAGTTGGAGGCTTATTGTGCTTAATCTTCCTGTTTAATCCACCCATTACAAAACCCTGGTTGCTTGCAGTACGCGAAGCAGGTCTGTTGGATGTTTGCCGTGTGTCTGAATCTGGTTCAGCTTCTTAGGGTTCTTCAAGGCCCCCAGTGCTGTCTGAATGAATCTCCTGTCTTTGCAGGCCCTCATATTGTTGATTCTTGCAAATTGTAGTATTGCATATACCACTGCCTGGAAAACAGATATATGTCACCCTAATGAGAAGAAGGTCTCGCATCTTCCTTCTTGACTGTAGATTCCTGCGCCTGTGCTATTCTCAGTCCTTGACCCGTCCGAGTACCAGGTCTGGCCGTTGAGATTGCATGTTGGTTTTCCCATTCCTCCCTTTCACTAATTAGAACTTGGAAGGATAAGTCGGATGAGTACTTGGTATAAGTGCATAGTCAGTTATCATGTCGAATGCTGTCAGATTTATGACTTCCCTTATTTGTGTGTGGCCTGATCTGACTGTTAGTTTGCTCAGGTTGTTTTATTTTCTGTGGAGGCCCATCCTGGCTTCCGCCTAAGTTCCAATGTGTAGCAGAGGTAGGTCTAGTAGGACTTCTATAGCCACTGTTGGTGTGCTTTCACCCTCTAATGCCCAGACAGGCAAGTCTTTGCACCCTGCCAAGTCTCATTCTGGCCCTGTCTTGTTGTGTTTTTGTCCACCATATCAAAGAGGGATAGGTTATCGCTGGCTCTACAACAGTTGCATATAGCCAGTGCATCATGTTCGGCAGCAGTCCACATGTTTCGCCGAAAGTTCTACTGGCTAGTATAAGTGCAAGTTCTGACCTTTCAATTACTTTGTCCAGATGTTTGTTCCAAGTTAATTTTGAGTCTATGATTACCCCAATATATTTAACTTCGTTCGACATCATTACTGGGTTTTTCTGAAAATAGAGAGGCCCAAGTCTCTCCATTTTCCGTCTCTTGGTAAAGGGAGCGATTGTCGATTTGGTGGCACTAATTTTCAACTCTAGATACAGTCTCTGTCCATCTATAGGGACTATTGTTAGAGCCTGCTGCATGCGATCTCTAACTGTATGGTTGAATTTTCTCTGGGATATGATCGAATCATCTGTAAATCCCACTACTTGATGGTTCAGCAGGGGTAATAACACTCCGCCTTGCGGACATCCTTTCGTAACCCGAGTTACTGTTTCACCTAGGAACATAGAGTGGATAACTATTTTTTTTTATCACTTCCTGCCTAAGATCGGATATACATTTTTCTTTCTGTTTGAATTTTTTCGCATAATTTTTGTCCATTATTTGAGATCCGTGAAGATCCCTTTAATCTTCTCAATGTCATTATCGGAGAGTATACCATATTTATTTATGATTTAATAAACTCTAACCTCTTAAGGGATCACAAGCAGGGCCGGAATAACCAACACGAATATTTAGTGGTTTTTCGGTCGAAAACAGAAAGATTTTTTTTTTAATAATCATTAGTACACTACAGACACACTCCGATAAAACCAGGTTTAACTTTGTTAATAAGCCTAACAAAACACCTAAAATTTATCGCAGCTGCTAAGCATGTGTTTACTCACTTAGTGCCATTTTTTTTTATTTTTTAGATCAGTAACCATTGCAGTCCATGTGACGTGTCCACGTGTGAGAGCAACTTTTACCTTTGGCTGCTGCTTGTGGATTAATTTTTATTCTACCAGACCCTCTGTGATATTATTATTATCTAAGTTACACTTTTACTGTCCCCTGTCCCGGCAATCTATCTCTATAATATTCTTATCACCATACGGACACTGATCGAGATACAGCTACAGAAAAGATTCTAGAATTTTTACCCAGTGTGCATCGTTACTTTCTGAATCCCTGCAGCTATATTCAAAGACTCACTGACCCAGAAGCCTCCGAACTGATGCTGACTAGCCGTACGCATATATAAGGGCTAATTTTGGAAAAAATACGTTGTAACCTTACTATATTTTGGGAGAGCGGATTTTGGTAGATGATTATAACTCTCCAGGATTGTCCCTTTTACAATAAAACATGTTAGCCCCTTTTATCTATTGGTGACCCGTGGCGTATTCTTAATCGGTAGGTATTTAATCACGAGATAGGTACTTGAAACTCTTTATATCTGAAACGTGTAATTGTATTATTCAATATCCACATAACTTGTGTGTTTCGGATGCCCCCATTATCCATAAAACGTGCAGGGAGGTCCATGTAAGGCGACATAATATACCTTATACCAGAAAAAACAAGCTTTATAAAAACAATTTTTAGACAAAGGTTATTTGATTTTAATTTGCGCATCTCCTAAAGATATTTCTGTTGCCGCTAAAATTTAACTGTTTTTGGAATATTGCCAGTGAAAAATCGGTATTTTGCAAGTTTTCTAGGCTGTAAAACTTATTATTTTAAAATTTTATTTTGAACAAATAATGGTTTACATGTTCCAATGTTTGTTTTTCCTAGGCTGTTGTTTGATTCTAACTTTAAATTTAACCAGAAAATAAGAAATTTCGGTCACCTATTATTAAGCTGTGGATAAATACGAAGTTAGAGTTACACGATAGCTCATGAAAAACTAATATGGGAATATGTAAACTGATTTACGCATAGGATATTTTTCATGAAATATGACTGAAATTTAGGGAAAAATCAAGAAATCCAATATTATTTATGGTTTTCCATTTTAAACTCCAAAGTGTTTTTAGGTTTGTTCCAGCAAGCTAACAGAAATGTTGGAAGCATTAATACCTAATATATTGTTATGTGAAGTACTCTGAGACATTCGTACTTCAGCTTCGCCTTCATCGGTTGGTCGTTTGCCAAACATTTTTAACATGAAGCCTCATTTGCCTCCCCTTCAGCTGCATTGCTGGTATAAGAGAGCTTCTATGGACCAGAAGGAATGAAGGCACCTCTCGGCCATTCCACTAAACTCTGTATTGAATAAAGTCATTCTCATTTTTCTCAATCCCGTTATGACCTTGCATAAGGCATTTTCCTCACTTATCAGCCGTTATCGGACTTAAAATTCATGTAATGATCGTTATAAAGTTCCATCGCTTCCCTGCTTCTGGCATTAGGGATTGGAACTTCTTCTGGTTATTTTAGAAAATAGTCCACATCATGATTGCCCGACTCTGTGGTAGAAAAAGGACCTGCGATATCTACCAAAAACCTGTCCAAGGGAAAGCCAGACAAGACAGGTACTGCTCAATTTCTCCTCAAAATCACACCTTGGGGTATTTTCTAAGAAGCACGGATGTCGCATATACTGCACCATTTTTGAACTTCTTCACGACCAATGATTCACTAATACCATTCCAACGTCCGATTGATTCCAAAGTGTCCATCATTCCGACTTCTGTGCAGCTCATACTGCAATCTGTTACCCGAATGTCTGATATACGAGACTTCTCTCATCTTGACTATCCTATTTACAAGTGATTAAGTCATCGTGCAGGCACCATGAATGGCTGAAGCCAGTAGCCCATTGCCGTTTGACCAAAGCCAGAAATATCTTGCCATCCAGGTCTTTTTCCATACATGATTTCCAGTTCCTTGCTACTGTTTTTCCACAAATTCTTTTTCGTTAACGTCCCTATCAGTATTGGTATCAGTTTCTGTATTTTTGGCCCTTATCTGCTGAACCTCAGAATTTTTGGTAATCTCCTCTCTTCCAGCCTTTGGCAAAAATTTGATGATTTACGTGATAAATAATGGCTTCGTGATTTGAACCAATAAGTTTAAAAATGCAGCAGCTACTGCAAGGCAGAATTAACGATTCTAATTGGGAAATTTCCACCTTTGAGCGACTGGAAGTGTTAGATGGATCTCACTACTGCGACAAGATCCTTTCGGGTGACAGATTAATTTTTCCTTCATCATGAAGCAAAATGAGATTTTCCTCGGTTAGTTGATGGAACGGCTTCGCAATGTTCTCAAAAATCCTTGACAAATTGGCCATGGTAATTGCAGACTTGGCTAGTGTCTGGCCCAACTATTTTAGATCAGTCTGTTTTTCTCTTGAAGAAACAACAAGTCCACGGAGCTGCATCCTCATGGAAAAGGTCGATCAACAACTGATTCCTTAGAAGTGTTTCTTTGGACTTACCTAATTGTAGGTTGGCACTTGGATTCCTGGCAAAAAAGTTCGTCAGGTGTATGCAAAATCTTTGCCAATCACCATGATATCATCCAAGTAAACCAAGCACGTGTCCCTAGTAACTCCCCTCAAAGCTAATTTCATCTTTTGGAAGACTCAAAAGGCAAATGCATCGTATAAGTCAAATGATATGACGTTGATTCATATGGACCCTTTCCAGCAGTTAGGGTGGTCTTCTATTAATCTCTCGATCCAAATGTGCGTGTATCTTCGTTGACTATGATTTTAACTTGCCGGTCCCCATTTATCAGTATCGAGAAGAATATATTTTCGTTAACCTAATAGACCTAATATAAACACATCTACCACTACTATAGCAACGATAATTTCTTTCTTCATTTAGGTTTTGCCTATTCCCGATGTCATGGTGGTCAATTATTCTTGATGGAGAACACTTTTAATTTGGGGGCTTGGGAAGCAGTGGTCACCAGCGTTCGCCGTACACTGGCGAGGCGGCGTTTGCCTACAGTTCTTACTAATATGTGCTACTCTGACGCATTTGTAACACTTTATTGGTTTAAGAGGTTGCCACTTATTTCTTTCATGCAGTGTTTTTGCAATGGATATCACCTCTAGCTTTACATACTTACTTCCCTGATTATTCTGTTCAATAAAGCGTTTTTAGCAGAGATACTCCACTCCATATCAACATAGAAAAAACATCCAATGAAGCCTCTCCATAAAATTTTCATGAGCATCAAGTTTGAAAAAACGATTTTTCACCCTACTGTGGTCTGATGTTTCCATGATCATAAATACCCCATGGATATAAGACTTTTTCTGCGGAATGAGGCCGAAAAAGCTGAATTTTTGCAAACCTGCGTTTTGATGTTCTAATGAAGCACAAAAAAATCTCACATGTCTACTCTTGTGCGTCTTGAGATATCGGAGGTCGAAGGTCATGAAAATCGGTTTTGTGCATCTGACCTCGAAGAACCCAAAAGAAAACTTACGTAAAATACTATTCTCTACAAAATTGTTCATATACATTTTTTTCTTTCGCCCAACCGTTTTCGAGATATAGCATGATAAAGCGGGAGCGAGCATTCAAATTAGGTAATACTGATTATACTGCGGAGCTATAACTATAAATGCATTTTTCCTAATCTGTTAGTCTGGAAAATAAAACTTTCAATTAATAAGATTGTTAGAAATTTGTTTATTTATAATAAAATGGGTATATAATAAATAATTTATAACACAAAAAGCATAGGTAACAAAAAATACATTTTTTTCCGCACCACTTTTGAAGTAGAATGCAAGGCGGGTTTTCTTTGTGACATGGTATGCCCAGTAGGCTTAATCCAGGTTTTCGATCTTAGGAAAAGTTTTTTAATATCATCGTTTTTTACACATGCCTTCCTCCTTGTCTTCGTCGAGTTTCACTATCAGCTTGACCAACAAATTATCTTCGTCAGACGCTTTCTTTTGGGTTTTATGTCCGTCGGCAAAACCTCTCTAGGCTCAAAGTTACCGAAGTCTTCGATGCTTAGCAACTCTGTTGACGGGATCAGGCATGCCTGAAAACATGAATTAGGCCTACTGGGGATACCATGTCAAAAAAAAACCGCCTTGCATTCGCGCGGCAGTTAAGAATTTCATTTCTTCTTCATTGGATAGGTGAAACTTTGAGAAAAAATTAGAAATTTTGGTTTATGGAACAATTTAATTATTGAAAGTTTTATTTTTCCAGACTAACAGATTAGGAAAAATGCATTTAAAGTTATAGCTCCGCAGTTATAATACAGTATTACCTATTTTGAATGCGCGCTCCTGCTTTATCACCTTATATCTCGAAGACGGTTGGTCGTACGAAAAAAATGTATATGAGCAATTTTGTAAGTTTTTTTTTTGAGTTTTTCGACGTTAAATGCATGGAAGCGAGATTTTTGCGAAAAACCTACTTTCATGACCTTTGACTTTCGATATCTCAAGACGCACAAGGCTAGACATATGAGATTTTTTTGTGCTTCATAAGAACATCAAAACGACGGTCTCTGCAAAAATTCAGCTTGTTCGTCCTCATTCCGCAGATGGCTTTTTTTTGTCTTATTTCGCTAGGGTAAAAAGGAATAACCTTCCTAGGTAGTATGTAAAACGTTAGAAACGATCAGAAAACGATTTAGTCTGGCTCACAAGAGCATGTTTCTACAAGAAGTTATAAATGGACGTTTTTTAAACGTTAATTTAGGTAGCTTTGATAATCAATTTTAAAAAACAGACATTTTGTTTATGTAGTATGTTTTTATAAAAGGTAAAGGATCATAAAAGAGACATTTTTCATACTTTTTTTGTGAGCGGTTTATAAAACCAACGGTAAACACGTTATTGATATAATCAGTATGGCAAATATTGGGCAGTTTACTTTCCACTGATAAAAAAATTAGCATGTTTTTGTCAGAAAAAGGAAAATAAAATAAGCCGTAAAATCACACATAAAAATGTTTATTTATTTTATACAACAAATCACATCAAAACTACCTATTTTGCGAGAATGTACAAATAGTCTAGGAAAATTGTCGATTTTCAAAAAAAAAAATCCTACCCAAAAGAACTTTTCAGGGATGATAGGGGGAGGGTGGGTGATCAGAAAACCGAAAATATCAAACATTTACCCCTCTGGCGTTTTGCGCTATAGGGGTTGAAAGTGTGCCATTGGCGATTACTAGAAAAAAAAAATTAATGTATACCCCTAAAAACTAAAATTTCCCTAAGCGAAGTGTCCCCCGCTGAATGGGGGTGAGTTACAAAAAAAGTTGATTGGCAAAAATTGTAGGAAATGTAATCTTATAAAACTTTTATAGGGATTTCTTTTTTCTGAAAAAATAAATAAACTTTAAACTACCCCTATTGAAAAACGGCAGGGGGTGAGTAAAAACTTCATAAAGCAAAAATGTTGTATGTGTTGTAGAAAAATTTTTCACGTTGGTTAAAATTTTTCATTTTCATTATAAAATTTCAAACAGCCCTTACGACCACAGACGGCCCTTAATCAAAAAAGTCTTTAGATAAACATTGTAGATCAAATAATGTTGCACATCTTTTATTTAAATTTTTTTTTTGTAAAATCAATAGGTACCAAGTAATCGCCAATGGCGCACTTTCAACCCCTATAGCGCAAAACGCCAGAGGGGTGAATGTTTGATATTTTCGGTTTTATGATCACCCGGCCGCCCCCTATCATCCCTGAAAAGTTCATTTGGGTAGGAATTTTTTTTTGCAATACATGTATTTTTCGACTATTTTCCTAGACTAAAAGAATACGGTAGATATACCTGGGTCCTAAAAACTAAAACAAAAATACGTATTTGCTTAATTATAGTCTTTTGAATAGTTCATTCCTGGGCATTTTACAAATCTATCATTGTTTATGTTAATAACTAGATGTATTCAGTAAACTGATCGTTGGGTAGGTACGTAACGATCCCTGTCTAGATTGGTACCGAGACATTACTGGTTTCCCGGAAATAAAAAGATGTTTGACAAATTATAATTAAACGGGAAAAAAATATATATCATTTTTTCTTGAACTCCTTGTCTATGATCATTATTCGACACATAATATATTTGACGACCACTTCATGACCAAACGTTTCTTATATTAGGTACTATTAAGAATACTACCATACAAAAATAACGTGGAATTCGTAATTAGAATGGATCACTTAAACAATTTTCATTGTCTGCAATTTAAAAAATACCTAATATGTAGTATTTTTTGAAATTTGAGCCCATAAATAGTCATAATTAATATTGCTCATGAGAGCAGGGTCAACACAAAGGACCACATCAAAACTGTCGAGTAATAATAAATCAAGATGTTACAAATGTGGAAGTTCCTTAACCTGCGCACGCTATGTTTTGTCCACTTTTTATCTGTAGAGTTCGAATTTTAAGATATTATTTCCTTTTTCGCAGAAATCCGCTAATTTAATACTTTTGCATACACTTTTCTCAAATAAAGTGCACCTAAGCAAGATATTTATCAGCTATATTTTCTAATCATAAATATGTAATATTAAAAATAGCATAACATTCACATTTTGAAAAATACCATATTTTTCATAAAGATACATTATTATGTCCATCCACGATGTACCTAATTAACATTATCCGTAAGACTTCCGTCTCAATTTTTTGAAAGAATTTCATCGCATTCTAACTTTTTTCATCATCTGGAGGACTTGCAATCCAGGAAAAGGACATGTTGGATAAAAGTTATGGCACCCATTTCCGTCAACTCCGGCGATTAGCTGACCCATGTGTGCTGCAAAGTGATATTTAGAGGTCAATTCCGCCGTAGTGCTTATGGTTGTTTCCCTGGAAAATATTGCTTCGTTATTCTCTTTTTCTCTTAGTCAGGCATTAGACGGTGGCTACAAAAAGTTGCCTTGATTAGTTTTCGGAAAAAAGCTCTTGGTTTGGAACAAATGAGCCGGAATTTATTGATTTCAACATCCTTTAAGTATTTTGGATTGTAATATAATAAAAAAATAAAAATAAAAAACTAAAAACTGATTCTGAATTTCTATTCAATAATACATTATTAGACTATCCCAATTATGGTTGAAATTATGGAAAATATACATAATGGAATAAAATCAGTACATCTAGTGCAACTTAAGTTTTATAGTTTGTTGTAAAACTGTATCTTTAGGTGCTCACCATCATTATATAAGTGTATCTGGAATGGGAATCAAATGAGCAGACCAAAAATAAAATCAATATTAAAACGAGGATTCCATCAAATTCACACAACATTAAACTAACAGACATTTGCTGGGGATTTTAAAAACATACTTCCAAACCTAACAAAAGTCAACAATCTCACTAAAATTATTGCTCTATTAGCTAGAAACTAATTACTACAAAGCAACTTAGGGCGATCGATTGTAAATAAACACGAAAGTTGATGTTTTTGCGATGACAACTTTAATCCTTTCTCAAACTTAATGGCGCAAGTTTGCTCCCTCCTTTACTTATGCTATCTATACTTCTACCAGATGTCAATGAAATCACTATTTCAATGTAAGAAATATCATTATAAAAAAAGAAATAGGTACTATAGGAATCTTTAGGAAATCCTGTAAATAAGTTGATATAAATGAAATGCTGTATTTGGATTCCAAGTGAAATTTCAATTCAGAATCAGTTTCAGCTATTTTTTTACCTATCTTCAGTTTTTGGCAAATGAATTCGTTTAGTTTAAAAATGTTACCTAGTATCAATACTGACGAACGAATTTATGTTTATGTGGAATTTCACATTTTGACAATAATACTATAATGTACGAAAGTTTAAGAAATTCATAATGTATTTTCGGTGTATTACCTGAGTAAGTTGAGTAAAGACTTTTCAGTTTCGGTTAATTTTTCTTTCTGATGAGTAGCAGTCAATTCACAGATGAGCTTCGGTAAACAAGCATTTTTGATTGTTTGTAAAATTTGCGATCTTGTAGCCTGAGTAGCTGAAACAAGTGAAAAATCATTATTTTGTATTACCAACAAAAATTAATGTGCCAATGGCTATGTAAACAATCGGTATAGGGATACAAGGACATAAAATAAGGTTAAATGGACGAGTTGATTACCCTATTTTACCCTATTTAGTACCATGAGTGACATCATAGGAAGTTTATTCTATGATTGCTTCTTATGTGATAAAAATAATGAGGAATCTGAAAATAATATTTTTATTTTTACTTAAAGCTTTCATTAACACCTTGTGCTAACCATTGTAACATTTTCCATTTGCAAAAAAAGTTAAGAGAGAAATTTAAAATTGATTGATGGCAACTACCTATAACAAATTTTGGAAAAAAAAAAACAAAATTTTTTGAAATTTCAGCAATTTCATCCTTGTAAGACCATTACATGTTCCAGCACACGGCCGGCGCCTTCTTCTTCAGACGGAATCATTCCGTTGGTTTTCCATAATAGGTAGGTATAGTAGTTGTACTTCTTCGTCTGTTCTCATTATTTGATGTTGAGTATTGATATTAATTCTTAGATTTTGCGAAAGGTCATTGGACATAAAAACCATAACTCCTTAGTCTGTGTTGAATTTTATGGACAATTATTATAAAAATTATAATTTTTTGTAGTTCATAATCAAAAAAGACAATGTGAATTCTATGGCTTATGTTTTCTACGAAAACCTTTAATGCTCCAGAATTCCAGGAACGAAATTTGAAAATTATCCGAGAAAAATAAATAATGAAGTTATAATTCAGCACATTTTCTATAATTAGTTGGTACCAATTAAGAAATACTCTTTAACATTACAAAACAGAAAGTGTGTTAAAGTGAGTAGCGATTATTCAGGCAAAATTATTAGAATGATTAGAAGATTAGCAGAATATGTAGGTACTTATTAATAAATTATAATTTTTTTTAAGAACTTATAGTATACTATGAGAAGTACACAAAGTGCGAGTCTGCATTGGATAGGAAATTCCGTACCCATTTGTTTTTTTGTAATTCTGTTTTTGGTACTACCTTCTGCATGATCCAGAACAACATAAACGCGTAAAATGTTTGAATTATGACGTTTAATACAGATATTTGGGCCCAAACTGTATACATAATTTAGCATTTCAAAAAACTAACAAGGAAGATTTAAGATTTATTAACCATATGCAACTCAAAATCTGAACAGGCTTAGGATTGAAACAAATCAATAAAGAAAAACTCGGAGTCTTCCGATAATCAACTAATGGTTACTTTATGCTTAAAAATTTCGAAAATTTCATAAAACATCAAACTCGCAAATTATTAATAAAAGTTCTCGATTTTACTGTCTTCAGAATAAGTTTTTTGTTTAATTATTAAATAAATAAGTTTAATTTGTAAGAGTAACCAATATTAAGAAAAAATTACTAGATTTGTCATAATATCAAGTGTTGCAAAAGAAATGTTGTCAGATATTGGTGTAAAATTTGCCTTAATTAGGTAGGTACCTACCTTCCTTATTATTTCGTTGTTTTAATATTTACCTCACAAAAAAGTGAGTTTCTTGAAAATAAAAATAAAAAATATCTCGAAAACGGTTGAGAATGGTATATAGGTAAATGATGTTTAATCGGTAGCAAGAGGGATCTACTTTCACCTCCTCAAAGGATACGTCCACTTACCAGTCACCCTAGGGTGTCCCACTAAGATCGCCAAGGTACGATATTATGGAAACCATAGACTCTACGGCTTCGGGATTTTTATTCATTAATTCATTCATTTAGTCTGTTTGAAGTGCAAACTATAGAAAAATACTAAATGGTACACTGCACTGAAAATGTAACAAATTGAACAATTATACAATAGTTACAATAGTAATAAAATACAAAATATAAACACAAATACAAAACATAAAAAAGAGAAACGAAAAAAAAACAATGGTACATAACAAACTCACGAAATAAAGGTAAAAAGTAAGGTAGAAAGTAACACTAGAATCAATTAGCAAATTTTGGCTTTTTAATTTAGGTAGAGTGATCTTGAAAATGTCTATATCACTAAAGTGTATGTTGTAGTTTGTGAATAGTCTAGTAACAATTGCACTCTGGCCATAATTTGTTCTGTGCCTTGGTTGATAGAATAGTAGCCTCTGTCTAGTTCTTAGAGATGGGACTAGAAATCCTACTTGTAGTGCCGGGCAGTCTATCGAATTGTTGAGAAGTTTATAGAGAAACACTATCAGGGAGTTTCTCCTGCGAGTTTCTGAACTTTTCATTCCACAAAGTGCAAATCTAGTATAATAGTCCAATTGTCTGTATGGAAAGTTTAATTTGAAGAGTAAATATTTTGCAAATTTACTTTGGAACCTTTCAATGCGGTTGACATGGATATTGTAGCTTGGGCTCCAAACAATGCTGCAATATTCTAGCAATGATCTGACCAGGCAGTTGTACAGGCATTTTATCGCTTCCACGTCATCAAAGTCTTTGGTGTTCCGCTTTATGAAGCCTAATAGTCGGAATGCTTTGGTAGTAACATGGTCGATGTGATTATTGAAAGTCAGTGTTTCATCAAAGATGACACCTAGATCCTTTATTGTGTTGACGGTTTCTAGCTCTGTGTTATTTATTCTGTAAACCGTGGTAACAGGATTTTGGATTCGGTAAAATGTCATATGTTTACACTTCCCAGCATTAAGATGAAGGTGGTTTATTCCACACCATCCTAAAAATTGATTGAGTTTAGTTTAGAGTGTCCGTGTTGTTTGATTGAGGGTACAGAAGATTTTCAAGTCGTCAGCGTACAGAAGGCAATGAGCATGTTTAACCCGGTAGTACACGAGTGTCGGTCAAAAAGACCGACCATTGATAAAATCTGTAATTACGCCACTGGTACAAGGGTGGCAGTTTTGTTCATCCAGGAATGCCTGATGCAGGTTTTCCACCAGCCGTTGGCCGAAAAATATTTTGGTTTTTGGTTGAAGCATAATTCGTTGTTTTCATTGCCAGTGCTTTTGACTAGGCGCGTGAACCTGAGTATGTAAAATATTTGCGTTCAAAATTGGCATTTTCTGATATTGGGAGTACTTTTGGCTATAGAAATACGGTAACTGTACTGCATAATATAATTCCCTTTGTAATGCTTATGAATTCTAGGAATTATAGACCTTGTACACTTTTTTCGCAGAAACAATCCCCAACGTATCCTGAACGCTAAGGCATGACTTACGCAGGTAATATTTAAAAGTTTTATGTCTCTATTGATTAGTAAACCTGCGTAGGTCATGCCTTAGCGTTCAGGATACGTTTGGGATCCTCTCCGCGAAAAAAGCTAATAATTCATATAAACTGTTAGGAAGTCGGTCGATTTGACCGAACGCGTGTAATGTTGTAAGTTTTTTGACGCGTGTAATGCTGGGTTAAAGTGACTCACTGCGTCATTGATGAACAGTAGAAATAGGACCGGACCAATGTGTGAGCCCTGGACGACCCCTGATGTACCTTCGATGCTATCAGAGTATGCTCCACAGACTTTGTAGCTGTAGAACGGTTCTTGCAAAATCCATGTTGATGGATTGATATGTAATTTTTGTAGGTTTGGCTGATGTCGTCTGTCAGGATGGATTCCATTATTTTAGGTAGGAGTGATAGAATAGAGAACCCGCGGTAGTTCCTAACCTCCTTTTTGTCACCCGATTTGTGAATTGGGGTAGAGTAGACATTTTCCATCGGTCCGGCACAAGGCCTGAGTTGAATGACAGAGAGGACCGACCAGAGAATCACCGCAGTTTTTCAAGAAATTTGGAGGAAGGCCGTCAGGGCCGACACACTTTTCGCTTTGATTTCTTGGGCGGTAAAAGTGTGGTCTGCTAAGTGCCCTCCAAACGGCACGGAGAGTTGCTCGTTAGCCGTTACTGAGCTATGATCTGAGTAGCAGCTTTTAAAGTGTTCGGCAAAAAAGTTTGCTATTTGAGTAGGATTGGTGGAAGAAGATTTATTAAAGAGCATTTCAGAAGGTAGACCGTAGTTTCTATTAAGTGATTTAACATAAGACCAGAAGTATCTAATATTGCCAGAAATCATGTGCTCTATTTTTGTGATATGCAGAATGTAACACATTTCTGTATGGTATTTAACCTCCCTCCGCGCTTCAGAGTAGGATTGATAATCTGGAGTTGACCGGGATTTCCGGCATTTCTTATAAAGGTAGTTTTTTTCTTTTTATGAGGTTCCTGAGGTGAGAGTTGAACCATTTGGGATATTTGTCTAATCTCATGCGCTTCTTGGGTACAAATCGATCGATGCCTTGGAAGATAGCATCATAGAATTTATTGAGTTTTACATTGATGCTGTCTCTGATTAGGTTCAAGAACTCCCAGTTGTAGTCATTGTAAAACGCAGTGATTGGAAATCGGCTCGTCCAAACTGAAAGACTGAGAATTTTTCATCAGATTTTAGCGTGGGAGTAGATTGGATTTTGAATGTCAGTTCCAGTGGAGGGTGTATATTTATTTTATTTATTTATTTTTATTTATTTATTTATTTTTTCTCCACTAAATCGGCCAAGAGAAATTGATGGAAGTTATTTTGAAGTTTCTAAGATGACCGCTAGGGGGCGCAATTTCGATGATATAACTAAAAATGCAAGTTTTCTCAAGAAATCGCTATATTAAGATACTGTTTTAACAACACAAATCAAAAGTTTATTAACCTTTGCGCCAGTTTGGTTGGTAGGCTTTTTTCGTATCTTCACTACTAAGGGTGGGGGAAGCTGGTGAAAAAATAGTTTTAAAAATTGCTGTATCTTCCATACCCCTTATCCAAACTCATTCAGTTTGGGCTCATTTGAAAGAGAATTTCATTGTTATTAGGAACTTCTTTCGGGGTCGATAGTTTCCACCGCATCTTCTAGAGGGCGCTGTTTAACCAAGATCCAGTTTCCTCCTCGGTTTCTTCTAATTTTCTTGAAAAAATCAAATGGCATGAATTTTTTTTTTTATTGCTGTGCTTAAACCGCAATTTAATATCTGCATTCGTTTTCGAGTTATATGCAAATAACTATTTCCATAATATCGTACCTACCTCATCGATCTTAGCGGGACATCCTGTATTTGATTGCTCCCTAAATGTTTTATTTGTTTTTAATTCAAAAGAAAAGCTCAAATCCTTCCTCCAAAAATACTTAATTTTTTTTTAAATGACCCTACATATTTCGGGATTAGTAAATGCCATCATCAAGGGCAATATATAAGCTACTATATTAAAAGGGTTGGATATCAGATGCTGCCGGATCATGCATTTTGTAGAGGAAAAAAAAAAGACTGGTAAGATTGAAGAATCTCAACAAAAGGCATTTTGTTGAGATTGTTCACTCTAACCCTGAGATTCTTAAGAGATCCATCAATGATTTTACAAAAGTTTTTCAATGACATTTATTCAAAACTCAATACAGCAATTTACATGGAACCTAAATCTAGTTTAACCTTTTTTTTAATTAATATGACACAGTAATTTTCAACTTACCTATTTTTGACCTTTTTTTTTTTCCTCTACAAAATGCATGATCTGGCAGCCTATGATATTCAACCCTGTTATTATATGAGCTTATTTATTGCCCCTGATGATTGGATTTACTAAACATGTAGGGTCGTTTAAAACAAATAAAGTATTTGTGAAGGAAGACTTTGAGCTTTTCTTTTGAATTAAATTTCAACTCCACTTTGAGATATGGACTACTCCTTCAATTTATTTGTTTCTGTTTATTCCAGTATTATTTAAAAAAATAATATTAAGTGCGTACTCTTAGGCGCACCTACCCTACTCAAAACCAATTAGGGCAAGAGGTGAGTTTGTGCATACCTGGAGCAATTATAAGGAGAAATACCAATTATGAATTAATATAAATACCTGTTACCTGTGATATGATATATCTACCTTATATCCTGACAAAACTATGGGGTATAAATTAGAAATAGAAAATTCACTCAAGCCACCTGCCGATTATAATAAAAGCAAGTGCAGAAAGGGTTAATTTTTCCCCAAATGTCAATGAAGATTAGTCTTTGTGTTTTGGAAAATGTACAAATTCGTCCACAATAAAAAGAGCAATAAAGGTGTAAAGCAGGAAACACAAAGTAAAAAATACAAAGAAAAATTGGTAATCAATAAAGCCCATGAGGTGGCACAGAAATAGGATCAACGCAATAATCATTCAAAATTTGGTGGTTATAGCGGAATGAATATAACAAATGTCAATGAAGAGGGAGGTACAGCGAATGAAACTAGTGATAACTTACTTCCTGTGTATGAGAGAAAACCTGGGGTATTTAGTAAACATTCAAAACTTCATAATGAAAATGTTTCTCCAAGGAAAAGCTCATACACGAAAACAATCCCTGAATGCCAACAACAATTTGTGACTAACTAACTAGAGATCATTTGTAACGTTTCTTTACCTACCTCTTCTCCTGGTATCCGACATTTTTGTCCAAATTAATGATTGAATATGGATAGTATTCAAATTTGCATAATAAGTATAATTTCATAGAATAAACTCAATGTCATAGCTAATCAATAACCATAACTTCCTGAATGTTTTCTCAGAAATAAGCATCATGCCGCAATAATCTCAAACATATTTCTTGAACATCCTCCCTCCAGCTCATAATCTCATTTCCTCGACTTTATGCAACCACCTCTCACCTATACCTAATACAACAATACCAACTAATTTTATCACATAGCTTAATGAGCCGAGGTTTTTCTTATTTTTATAGAATTGACGTTGGGAGACTTCTTCGAGAATTAATCCACCAAAAACAATTGGTTGTTTGAACCTTGAAAATATTTTATTATTCTGTGCTGTTGCGAACTACCTTGAAGTTGACTTATTGAGTTACCTTTTAAACCAGTTATAAGAAAAATGTTTTGAAATTTTACAAGACTAATGGCTGGTTTATACAACATTTGCATAGTCGTAATCATAATCATAGTCTTAGTCTTAGTCTTAGTCTTAATCATAATCACAATTTTAGAAGGCGTTTATACAATGTCATAAGCATAAAATAAAATCAACTCTAACCCGACTTTTTGTAGGGAGAATTTGTTTACTTTTTGCGAATCGAACTCGTCTATTCACTTTTAATACTTTTTCAAAGTTTCTAAAAGTGTGGAAATTAAAATTCTGCGAAAGAAAACCATACAAGTGATAGGTCTATCCTATTTATTTTTGAGTTTTGCTAATAAACAACTTCAACAAACGCAAACCATAAACAAAGAAGGTGGAAAGTGAGTCCCATCAATAAAAAAAGGCAGAAGGAAGGGCATTTTGCCACATTATTCAAAGACATGTAGAAGCTTGATGGAGACCCTTTTTTTTTTAAATACTCTAGAATGACTCAAGATCAATTTAAATACAAACAGAACTAAAATAGCAGATTTGAATTGTTTTTCTCTGTAACAGCTGATAATGGCGCTTGCGCAGTTTGGATCTCGTCTTAGTCACAATCATAAAAGTTAAAAGTTGCCAACTTTGAGTTATGCTTATGCTTATGCTTATGATTATGATTTGTGTATAAACGGTTCCATAAGAAAATATTATTTTAACTCTTATGACTAAGACTATGATTATGATTACGACTATGCAAATGTTGTATAAACCAGCCATAAATTATTAAAACGCATCCATATCAAAATGTACGTAAATGTATCACTATTTAGGCATAACCAACTGTGATTTCAAAACATTATTTTGATTTATATGAAGATTACCTACCCAAATGTCTAACTGATTCCTCTTCTATATCCGCATCGATATCGATGTCAGCTTTAGAATCCCCATATCCTGGATTAGTAGGCCGAGGCGGAGTACGTTTACTTTCTTCAGTGCGAATGCCACCGATCAACTTGTTGATCAATCCAGAGTAATCCGATATCACAAGAAGCACAATACAAATAATGAATACAAGCCTCACAATGAATTTTCCTGTTACGACCATGATTAGAGTTTATAATTATTTTTTCTTGTAAATATAAAAATAGGCGTTTTGCCGAACATTGTTGTGTTACGAAAATATGGCTAAACTGATTGTTTAAACGCTTCGCAAGTCCCGCTCACCTTGTAGTTTTTTCAGCCCCTCCGCAGCTATGTTTTGTCTGCTGTATTCAGCAGCGCCTAGTGAAAGTGAAATCGAATAAATATAATTTTAAATTTTAGCATTGATCCGTTAAATGGTCGACTCACTGTTATGCATTCATGACATAATACATTTGCTTCGCTTATTTTGATGTAACTTTTGAATCTTACTGGCTACTGGTTGTGTTGAAAATACTTTTTTTTACTACTAACCTGAGAAATAGACATTATTCAATCTATTTTTTTAAGAAAAAATTGAATTTCTCTCCCTAGGTTAATAATGAAAATAATGAAAAAATACCTAGGTCAATAATGAAAATGACGTCATGACGCAAGGATATTGTCGTGTTTCTATTGGTTCAATTTCAGTTTCATACGTCAAATTGAAAAAAAATACAGGTTTCTGTAGGTACATAGGAAGTTATATAAGCTGTTGGTAGAGGGCAGCACTTTCAAGAAGGCGTTCACAAAAAATAATTAGAGCACAGATTTTAAACAAATTTTTTATTTTCTACTAGCAGTAGTAAAAAAAATTCTATATATTCCTCGGTAGAGAAAGTCATTATATACCTCACGCATTATAAACCTCGGCGCTGCGCGCCTCGGTTTATAAAAGCTTTCGGTATATAATGACCAACTTCTCTACCTAGGTATATAATATACTATTATTAACGATCACCTTTCAGTATTTACCAGGTTTATAAGTTAACCGGGCAGTATCGGATATACTGTGATGGAATTGAGGAACCTAGGAACACACTCTCAAGTCGGTAAGTTGCACCAAGAGGAGCAAGAGGTAGGGCTTTTCAAAGGTAGCACACAAGTTCCTGTGTAACTGATATGATAACCGTGGTTCGGCAGAGCTCCGGGAGCCCAATGTTAAACTGTAGGTCTGGTCCTGATGGAACCAAGGAGTCGGAGATAAGGGACGATAATTATTCATATAAACAAACAAATTCACATTCGCAGAATATAACACTAATCAAATTACCTTGCTTCTAACAAGTAATGAGAATCGTTTACGTTTTTGTTTATATGGAAAGCTAGCCCTTATGCCAGTCATGAAACTCTGGGTTGGGTAGTTTGCTTTGAAATACATCTTAGTAGATCCCGGTATATGTGGAGTAGCTAGGTCTACGGCAGGGTAGTGGTGCACCATGACGAAGTGTCGTAGGGTGTGGCAATTGCTCTTGTTTGGAAAGGAGGATATTGGCTGGGTGGTGGACCTCCTTGAAGATTGTGATAAACATAGGCAAGTAAACTACATAGAATAATAGTCTTACCATTTTAAATTTATTTAAATTATAGCTACTTGTTATTGATTATAGAGTATTTCTACATAAACAAAGTATAAAAATGAAACATTTCATCTGTTTGTGATTTTCTTTTCAGCCGGTAGGCCTGTGACGGTTAGAATATTGCTTCTCTATAGGTCTTTTTTAATTTTTCAGGGCACGAATAGTAGAGTTTTTTTTTAATTGAAGACATATCTCAATATTTTCATTCACAGACATTTTTGTCTGAATTCACGTGTTTGTCAAACTCTTCCTGGATTGAAAGCAAAAATAAAGGTTTTTGTTGGTTATTAAATTTCTCCATATTTTTTTAACCACCTGACCTGATAAATGCTGACTTTGTTTTTGTACATCATAGTTGCTATGTTCCCCACTGATTTTGATATACAGGTTCCAATAGAGCCATCTATGTTGGATAGCAGGAGATTACCAAAGTTCATCAAGAACTGGAAAGCCGTACACAAAAAACTCATGAAAATGGATAAGTACCACGATATAATATAGACAGACGGTTTTTGAAGTCTATGCAATAAATGATTATGCCACATGATGCACACAAGAGACAGCTTCTTCAGAGACATCAACAGAGCAATATCATCAATCAGTGCTTACAAAGAGTTCATTGTTCAAGGAGACATGAAAAGTAACACAAGTGGAAAGCTGAATTGTCTCACTGTTGGCTCACATATGGGGAGCCATTATTAAAATTAATAATGATAACATACTTATTGAACACCATAGAACCAAAATGGTTTCTTCCAGCACAAGAAAATAATAAGTGGACAAAGTTGACCCATAATTTGAAATTATATAAACAAAAAACAAGAATAAAAATACAGAGCCACACGAGGATCGAGCAGCAAAAGTGACCAGTATTTTCTGAATTCGAAAATCCTCTTTCCTTGAGACAAAGTCAGAAGGTATCAACCAGGGTAGATAAAATCCTCGATAGCATCTAAAGAACATAGAGCCCAACAGTTTCAAGAACTTGTACCAAACAAGACTGAGTGATAAGCTTGGAGCACCGAGTTCAGAAAACAGAACTATTTAAACGAGCATTCACCGGTACCCAATGAAATCCCTGGGTTGGATAGAAGTCTATACCTTTCAAGCTTATTCAAAAAAAAAAAACAGATCAAAGTTAACAAGAATGCACAAAGCACCATAAAGGAGGACAAAGCCTGGAAAGTGAGTAAGTGATAAGAGCCATGAGAGGAAACATGTAGGGATATTAAATCTCCAATAACAGATATCAATGAGTCAACACCTAAAACCTGCTGACAGAGTTTCGAGAAGAACAGAACTGCGATGCGATCAAACCCATATACTTATACAATATGGCCAAATGTGAAAATTCTTTGACATCAAACAGAAACAAAACTGGCCTCATTGTGTTATGTAAATCATTAGAGAGGTCTGTATGGTCACCATATTAGACTGAATGGTATGCCTATTTCACTAGAAAGCAGCCAAGTTCCAGAATTGGGTTGGTAAGATCACACCATTTAATAATTGAATAGTGCCGACGCGCTACTCCGTCTATTGTGAGAAACTCTAACTACTGACTACTGGAATATTTTACTTTGCTTGCATACAATCTCTTAACATATATGCTATCAATTTTTTTTTTGGGGCTTATTTACAAGCGCTATATAAGTATTTATTGTACTCTGGTCACCATAAGGTGCAGGACAGACCTAAGTATTCCGCGACACAACACAACACTTTGCATGCATTTCCAGGTGGCGAAATATCAATATACGATCGTTTTTGTGTATTAGCTTGATGTCAGGCCTATTGTATTCCAAAAAAAAAATTCCAAAAAAAAAAGTCAGTAATTATGGTTTGGTCCCAGTAGATCTTATAGTATATACTATAATGTGGTTTCATATGAACAGCATAGCTGGATCTCGCCACCAAGGGTATAAACACTGTTGTAATTTTTATTAGTAATTATGCCAAATAAAAACCTTTCGATTGACTTGATTGATTGATAGTGTTGATTTTCTTCTACCATATTGGGAGAATATTTATAGTTAGGAGTTATTTTGTTTTTCAAATTTCTACCTACGAGAATTGACAATCCCTTGGTGTTCAATTCCAGCGATGTGATTAGGTATATGGATTTGAATAAACAGTTAGTACAAGCCTAGTACATGACCCAAGATGTGGTCTGTCGTGTCTGATCCGATTTTGGGTAAGTAATTTCTTTCATATTCTGATATTTATTTCTCTCCTTCCTTATCCAGGTAGAATCTTGCAACAGTGCTGTTACACTTTTACTTCCCAGACATATTATTATTGTGATTATTGTTAACATTATTATTATAGAGATATTTATGTGAACAGTCGAAAAGGATCACAAAAATATAAAAGCTGAATAACAAACCGGCTTACGACTGTGAGACATCTATTTTGAATGTTGCAAGTGATTGAAAAGAAAATAGTTTATGAACAAGAGCTACGTCTGCAGATCTATAAAAAGCCTACGACAGTGTATTACTAAACTTAATTTGGCAAGTGTAAAAAATAGAAGAACTATACGACAATAATAAGGTAAAAGTGAAGATAAGGCAACGACTAACCAAAGAATTTAGGGCCAAAAGGGCGCCTAAGCAAAGCTGTTATATTTCTTCTACGTTTTTCGAGAGATATTTGAAATAAGTTCTCTCAACAATATGGAAGAGAAAATGTTAGAACATGGACATACCTATAGAAGAAATCAACATTTATATATTCTGCCAATGACCAAATAGGAGTGGCACAGGACAATAAAGACTTAGATTACATGGCAAGACTGGAAGTCGATGTCAAGAGAACAAAATATATGTATACGGACAATTCTGGATACGGAAGAACGAATTCAATCCTGAGAAGAATATGAATACCCGCAGGTTTAGAAATAACGTCTGACGGCAAACTGGATAACGCCATAAAAGAATATGCAAGCGAGAACCAATAGATAGCTCATACAAAAAATCATTGGGTAAAGCATAATAATATCAATTCAGAAGTTTGGTTAATTATGGAAAATTATAGAGAATTTGAGGAGGAAATAAAGGAAATAATGACAGTAGATCGTAGAATACTGGATTATTAGAGTACAACTGGTATGGCACGAGCGTGAATAACGAATGAGAATCCCTATAGTATCAAAACGAATACGTACTACTGTGCAGTTCAATTGGGAGAAGGTGGCGAGGAAGACCCAGAAAAATCTGAACAGAGAAGACGATGGAAATTAAATTAATAATAAAAATTAAATCGAATAACTTTTCTTGTAGTTGATCTAATTCTTAAGTCATATAAGTTATCTCAAGTTTTAATATCTTTATGAATTTCCAGTAGCCTTACTGGAACATACAGCTTTTAGATCCAATTTCAATTTCGATTTCATTACAATTTTTGGAATTAATTAATATCTATTATTACATCACTTCTTTGAGGCTAGTTGTAAAAACCTGATCTATCCAATAAAATTGAACAGAAAAACCTTTAAACATTCAAATTGTTGCTAAAACTCTACCAACAGATACCATGCACTGCACAACCGTCGATATTTGTACGAATAAGTCGGTCAGCCAACAAAAACGAGGCATTTTTATGTAATCGACACGGTTCCGAACAGTTCAAACTAGGTAC